ATATGTATACGCAATATACCACCCGCATGCTATGCTACGAGTATATCGAATAGCAGCCCGTCGTGGCCTGCCTGCAACCTAAAAACAACCTTTAGCCGGACCAAATACCCCACACCCTACGTAGAGCATGTCATTTTCAACAGCACATCATGAAGGCGCAGAGGGTCAGGTACACACTCGCACCCAGTCCCTCTCCCTCAAGACGGTTGTCTTCGCACTCGAAACCTGCCTCTCTCCCGCGTTGGTTGTGTCTTACCTCCCTTCATCGACGTCTTCCCCATGCATTCCCCATGACCTCGAACGTGAGCCACGGCTGCAAGAAGAAACCCTCCTTGTCCAAGTCTTCCTGGAGCCACTTGAGAAGCCAGGGACAGCGATGTCCTTGTACCCCTGCGCCGATGCCGCGTGCTTGGCCTGTGTGGAGACAATCCCGGCGTTGCGCTTGACCGCCAAGCACGCGTACACGATGCACACGTTCTGGAGGTGCTTCAGCAACTTGGCGTCCGTCAGGCCGGAGCTCCTGTCCCGCAGCATCGAAATCACTGTCTCGGCGTACGAGTTGAACTCCAGCGGGAGAGACTGTACGCCATCTAGTTTCATAGCATCCATGGTCTGCTTTACGGGATGTGGCTGAGTGCAAGGAGCTGGTGCAGAGGGGCGTTGTGTTTCGTGCTGTGCGCGGTCTGTGGCATGGGGTGAAGGCGGAAATTCAAAAATCAGTTCGCTCCCGCACGCCGAACGCCAGTGAAAATCATCACGAAACCCAACCTTGAGAAAATGACGTTGTAACACAGGGGTCATCTTTTTTTTTTGTTATCATTTTTTGGGTCGTCTCTTTTTTGAAAAAAAGACAGCCTGAAAAAAGACATCGAAACAAATTACTGTTTCCGTTTATTTTCTTCTCTTTTTCTCTGTTCTCTTATTCTCTCTTTTTCTGTGCCAGATGGCCTTGTTTCCGCTTGCGTAGTGAAGTACCAAGATTGAACCAAGGGGGTGTATCTCATTCTCTCCGGCCCGTGATGGTGACCCCTAGTCTCAGTTGTTACCTCGCATAGCGCGCAGAGGGAGTGGAGGACTCCAGAATATCTGTCGTTGATTTCTTTTGACTCGCGAACCCCTCGGGGCCATTTTATTTGAGTGTGCCATTTTAGGGTATAAGTTAGCCTGCGACCACGGGAATCGACCGCGTCGAGTGTTGTATCAGTACGGACATACGAAGGCACTGGGGAGAGAGAGATCGGAACGGTTTTTAAATGTGAAGACAACAACAACAACAACATACCCCACAGTAGCCACACAAACCACCAACGCTTGTTGACGGGCACATTGCCTCCAAGGATACCAATCTCCGACAGCCTCCTCCGTAGATCGCGGCGAAACCAACCGCGGTGTTCTGCTGCTGCTGCTGGTGCTGCTGTGCTGCTATGCTGCTGTGCCTCGGAAGCATGAAGCAGGTCGTGCCCGTCTTGTCTCTCTTTACTAACATAATAATGTACGAGCACCACAGCGAGCTAACTCACGGATAGAGCGAGTTCGACCCCCTCTATCTAGGAGAGGGGCGCGGGCCCACGAGTCGATAAATACGTCAAATTAGAGTGACTGGTGAAATTGCCAACGGGCACACAGCAGTAGGCGCAACACCCGCAATTGGCGACCTAATAGCGATCGGATCCTCCTTCCTCATGGGAATGCTGGTGGTGTGGATGTAATCCTCGCAAGATATAGCAGAGTGTGACTCCAAGGTGGGACATGATAGCAGCTCGCTGTTGGTAGCTACAGACATGATGCACACATATTGCCGACCCATTCAGTGTTGTCTCTCTTCCCCAACCACACACCCTCTGCGCTGTTCCGCGGACGCGCTGCTCCGCAAGGAAGGGATTTTACCAGGGAGCTAGGAGCACGGAGCTACGGCCATTATGCATACCTGTTTGGCTGTGCCAGGTGCTGTGTATTTCCGTCTTCTTCCCGTACGTGCATGTTTGGGTGTTAATCGACCGCACGGCGGTGGCGTGCACCAACAACCGTCAACGTTCAATTCGGTCGACTCGGTCCCAGGCTCAATGCCTCGCGTCGTCACCAACACTGTAGAGTAGAGGTAGATGTTATCTTTACGATAGAATTGTGGTGTAGCTCAATTAACAATACAGATAAGATCATACAGGTGTTTTACGCGGGAGAGAAGGCTGCATGCTGCGTAGGTCTTTTTCAGGAATCCTCAGAAAAGTATCGATCATGCATGAATGACATTTTGAGCACATTAGACTAGGTATTCGATCGTACATTGTGTGAATTTGGCGATGTGGCAACACAGCAGTTACTTCGTCTTGATTCAACACTTACGCGTCGGTTTCCGCAGAAAAATGCGAATCGACAGCTAGCTACATTACGATAGGAATGAAGTCGGAATAAACCAAACATAATCTTGGGATCACTCTCATCTCTTCAAGGAAAGTGGTGGCCCCGCCCCCCTCGCCCCCTCCCTCGCAAGGACTCGAGTGCCACACCAGAATACGGGTTCCGACCTCTACATCTGAACACGACACGCTCGTTTTCTTCCCCTGTGTAGCAGCAACGTGTACCCCGGAAGTTCCTACTCAGCAGAGGGTGTGTGCTACAAATCAACGATGCAAAGCGAAAGGGTAAGCACACTCGCTTGCGCCTTCATTGAACTTAACCAACGTACCGCATGGAACACGAAAGCCAAAGAAACAAAGACGAAAGTATCAAAGATCCTAAAAACCTCCCTGCCCACCATTATTCACCATCGTCATCACCCATTTGGTCGTCGGCTAGATGAATGTCAAGGCCAGCGATCCCCGATTCTTCACCGGGGAGTGCACGGCACGATAATAAAATATCGCGTAGTACATGGCACGTAAAAAACGGCAACACACGTCGNCATTGAACTTAACCAACGTACCGCATGGAACACGAAAGCCAAAGAAACAAAGACGAAAGTATCAAAGATCCTAAAAACCTCCCTGCCCACCATTATTCACCATCGTCATCACCCATTTGGTCGTCGGCTAGATGAATGTCAAGGCCCGCGATCCCCGATTCTTCACCGGGGAGTGCACGGCGCGAAAATAAAATATCGCGTAGTACATGGCACGTAAAAAAACGGCAACACACGTCGTCATTCGGCGGGCGGCACTTGGCGTGTCAAACTGATCACCATGCCCCCGACCGTGACCGATCCGCCCGCACGCCCCCGCTGTGACGAAGAGGGAGTCGCTGTGGCACCCCCCTGCGACAGAGAGGGAGCCGCCGTGGTTCCGGATGCAGCCGCGGCGAGTTCAGAAACTCGCGTGTTGAACGACGACGAAGCGTACTTGTCCCCGCGCCCCGCGATCCCCTTGAACATTTTCGGCCCGAGTTTCTTGGGAGCGCCGGCCTGACCATTCACGGGGAGAGGAGGTAGCAGGGTGTCATCTTCCTCCAGCGTGGACGCCATAGGCAGCATGACCTTGTACGCGTCGTCGCCGTAGGTCTGGCGGTGGTATTTGAGGCGATAGGCCGGGTTCATGAGGGTCATNCGGCGAGTTCAGAAACTCGCGTGTTGAACGACGACGAAGCGTACTTGTCCCCGCGCCCCGCGATCCCCTTGAACATTTTCGGCCCGAGTTTCTTGGGAGCGCCGGCCTGACCATTCACGGGGAGAGGAGGTAGCAGGGTGTCATCTTCCTCCAGCGTGGACGCCATAGGCAGCATGACCTTGTACGCGTCGTCGCCGTAGGTCTGGCGGTGGTATTTGAGGCGATAGGCCGGGTTCATGAGGGTTATGACAGCGTCCATCTTGTCCTCCTCTGCGTGTATTGAAGGAGGGAGCGACATGAACAATGACAGAAGAGGGAAATGACAGCAGTGATAAAGTGTGGTCAGTTTCTGCCGACCGCGACCGAAAGGGATACTGACGCGCGACGGCGGACTGACCGAAAGCAGAGTACCGTGCCACCTGTTTTCCAATCATGGAGCATCAGAAGGAATACATTAGACANTAGGCAGCATGACCTTGTACGCGTCGTCGCCGTAGGTCTGGCGGTGGTATTTGAGGCGATAGGCCGGGTTCATGAGGGTTATGACAGCGTCCATCTTGTCCTCCTCTGCGTGTATTGAAGGAGGGAGCGACATGAACAATGACAGAAGAGGGAAATGACAGCAGTGATAAAGTGTGGTCAGTTTCTGCCGACCGCGACCGAAAGGGATACTGACGCGCGACGGCGGACTGACCGAAAGCAGAGTACCGTGCCACCTGTTTTCCAATCATGGAGCATCAGAAGGAATACATTAGACATATTGGCATCGGTTAGACTTTGGCTTTCACGTGTTGTGGCCGAAGCACCGCATGTGACCACGACCTCGAAGCTGCCGTTGCGGGTGCGGGTGTGTGAATCGCTTTCGAGAAAGGGTCCTAGTTCGTTCAAACGGAAGTACGAGAACGTAGACCGCTTATTTCTTGTGTCATCAAACACTTGACCGAGCGATTCCCGTGGTCACAGGCTACACTGCCTAAAAGAAGGTATAATCACAGGCCAGATATTGTGGTTCATCCCCTGATTCAATCTTGGTACTCCACAAAGATGGAGAAAATACACTATCCGGGGAAGACAGAACAAAAGAGATAAAAAAACAAGAAACAAAACCATGCAGGAAACAACTAATATGAACAGACACACAGAAAACAAAAGACCCGCCACAATGACAAGAGGACANACGGAAGTACGAGAACGTAGACCGCTTATTTCTTGTGTCATCAAACACTTGACCGAGCGATTCCTGTGGTCACAGGCTACGCTGCCAAAAAAAAGGTATAATCACAGGCCAGACATTGTAGTACATCCCCTGATTCAATCTTGGTACTCCACAAAGATAAAGAAAATACACTATCCGGGGAAGACAGGACAAAAGAGATAAAAAAAAACAAAAAACAAAACCACGCAGGAAACAAGAAAAATGAACAGACACACAGAAAACAAAAGACCCGCCACAATGACAAGAGGACAGAGACAGAGCATGCAGCGCAGAAAAAGGTTTGCCGTNGTTCCCACTAGGTACATCGCTTACCTCTAGCCACGGCAATGACGTCGCAACAAGGGATCTGGAATCTCGCGGGGAACCCGCATGTGCAGGACCACTCCGTCATCTGCCCCGGCTCGCCCCACCTCAGCAGGACCCTGTTGCCGCGGGTGTTGAGGGTGGCGAGGTTGGTGTTCTCGACCGTGTAGAACTGGTTGCCCGTGGGGGAGGCGACGAGCCTGGAATAATGAACGTCGCGTGGCNCACAAGACTACTGCGTTCCCACTAGGTACATCGCTTACCTCTAGCCACGGCAATGACGTCGCAACAAGGGATCTGGAATCTCGCGGGGAACCCGCATGTGCAGGACCACTCCGTTTTCTGCGCCGGCTCGCCCCACCTCAGCAGGACCCTGTTGCCACAGGTGTTGGGGGAGGCGAGGTTGGTGTTCTCGACCGTGTAGAACTGGTGGCCCGTGGGGGAGGCGACGAGCCTGGAATAATGAACGTCGCGTGGCAAAGGCTTGCATGTGAGTACATGTGAATCTCGGCGGCGTGCGTGCACCTTTAAACATGTCATGGAACACCCATCCGTTGGCAACCCACCACCCGTCCGTGCAAGTACAGGAGAGTCCTCCAGGAACTAGGTTGTCTCTTCGAATCCACAAGAGGACGTACCGANACCACAAACAAGACGTACCCATACACAGAAAAACCCAGACGCGGCCGTTCATTCTCCACTCTTGTCACTTACCCGGCGGACTTCTCCCTCTGATATTCGAACGTCGCGGCAGCATAGAGTGTCCATGTGCCATTGCCGAGGGTGGAACGGTGGGAGAACTTCTTGGCGGTATCAGCGAGGATGCTCCTCATCAGCTCCAATGGCGGTGGCTTCCTAGCCTGTGAGAAGTCATCGCCGAATAAGTTGCAACATGATCAAGCTACGTTTGGAACGAAACCAACCATACTCGCTTACTTGCTGTGGTCGACACGGGGCGTCGCATTGGTACAAGAGAATCACCAAAACAGGGTAGGGGTTCACCCACAACTCGAGCAATAATGCGCGGGAGCGCGGGGGGTGCAGTGGAGGGGTCGTGGGAGGCGCACGTGTACATTCGTGTCCATTTTACATCAGCGAAAAAGCCTTGTATTCAGGTTCTTTTCTGAAAAAACAACTACTATCGGTCTCTTCACTGCTACGCAGGGTGTGCTTGCCTCCCAACGAGTGGGTGGGTGTCCCTGACATGGAATCTACAGTAACGTGTTCGAGTCTTCGCGGCTCGTTGTCCGACCAATACTGCTACCGATCATACATGGTGCACAACAAACGGAACGAACATCGTCCTGGCATATTGGTACTTTCGTTTTTGCAAAACCGATCCCGGCAGCTACAGAAGAAGTACTTCGTGCGACGAGTAGCCTTACCTCGACACCAGCCGCCGAATTGGTTTGCTCCGAAAGGTTGTTCGTGACAACGTCTTTGAGTGTGGTGTCGGGGCCCACCAGAGGAAGCCCACTCATGCCACTTCCAATCATCGTCAATGATCTGGACATAGGCGCGAGGCTTGCTCGGTAGAACGTGCTGTTTCAGGATGTCCTCGCATTGTTTCTTCGTGGGAGCTCTGGCGGCGAAGAATACCCATGAGTTGGCATTCTGGGCAGACAAGTTTAAACATGAGGAGAAGGGGCACGGGCAAACGAGGGAGAAGGGACAAAACTAAGAGGGGCTACTCAAACACAACAAAATGGAGCAGTAACGCACTCAAGGGAGTCGCAGCGCATCGGCAAGTGCATCAACAGCAGTGGCGCCTGTACCTGCCGACACCCAATGCAGCAATACAGAACGTCAAGTCCACGGCTAGCGCAAAATAACGAAGCCAATGGACTAAACACAAGCCCCGCACACACATGATTAAGGACTGGCTGAGCAGTACCTAAAAAGAGGTAGGTGGGGCTCAATCTGTTTCTTCGGCGTTGTTGACATCCTCTGGGTTACTTCTCCAAAATATAGATACCGTGACATGGACTTGTCGAAGCTGGAGGCCTCTGCCATGGACGTCCAGAGGCGGTACTCACACCCCACCAAACGCATCGCGCCGCATCTTGCGGGGTTTCTTCCCGAGTGAACAACTTGCTACTTGGGTGCAGCTAGTCGAGGAGATTTTGGTGTGTAAGCGTGCCTGAGAATTTGAATGATTGCCATGGACTTGCCATGGACTTGCTCACCTTACACATATCGACGGCTGCACAGCTGGGACAATCGTGCGTGGCACATGATACAAACGCTACATAGATTCGGTTGGCGCATCTCGTGGTACGCTCCTGGCGGCAATACAGATGACGATGTCGTGGTGAGCTGAACAAGCGCGGGTGTGTACGACATGGCGTAAAAATGGGGGGGGGGCGCCTGAGTATCCTTTTTTCCCAACCGCCTCGTTCTCACAGTGACTGCTGTCGATCCGTAGGGATCAGATATCCCAGCAGCACGTACATGCTACACTCTGTCCGGGTATATTTTTTTTTTGGGGGGGGGAGAAAGAAAGGAGAGGAAAACAGCTCAGCGAGCGCTTCAAGAACACCGCCCCGAACCCCAACCACTCGTACCGGGTTTTGGAGAAGGCAAGGGATTAACCAAGACAACACCAAATCTCACATCTGACAACACCTAAGAATTGCCTGATAATGTACATCACAGACACCCACCCCCCGCTTCTTAACACACATCCCAGCCATTCCCCACTCGTCAACAACGTCTCGAACACATAACATCATACTTTTACTCANGGAGAAGGCAAGGGATTAACCAAGACAACACCAAATCTCACATCTGACAACACCTAAGAATTGCCTGATAATGTACATCACAGACACCCACCCCCCGCTTCTTAACACACATCCCAGCCATTCCCCACTCGTCAACAACGTCTCGAACACATAACATCATACTTTTACTCACGCTGCCAATCTTCTCCTCTAAGTTCAGGATGAGGTGCCTCAAGCAGTACCGGTGCTGCGCCAGCGGGGCCTCTCTCCGCAGCGCACAGGTCGCCCCCTTGTGCTGGTCCGTGAAGAAGGTTGTCTTCGAGTCTTCCAGCAGGTCCCTCATCTTCGGGTTCTTGCAGTTGCGCAGCAATGTCTTGTAGAGGGACGTGTCCTCCTTGGGTCCGATCACCGTCGCCACGTTGATCATCTCGTTGTGGGCGTCCTTGCACGTCAGCGTCAGCATCATCCCGTTCCACTCTCCCTTGAGGTGTCCCCCATCCATCCCCACGACCTGAGGACGTTTTTTATAGAGCAAAGAGGGAGGGAAAGGGTGAAGGCAATTCGTCAAAACGCAAAATCANACACGCAAAATCAATGCTAAGGGCGACATGCATACCGTATATGACACAAGATAACACACCCCCTGGACCAATTTTCAACGCTAGATTACTCCACGACCAAGAGGATGCATGAACGAAACGATACATTTTTGGAAAGCTTTCGACGAGGCGGTCCCAACGCCGCCGTTTTCGGCGCCGTGACTCTTTCTGTTGTTGAGAAATCANCGAGAGGGAAAGGGTGAAGGCAATTCGTCAACACGCAAAATCAATGCTAAGGGCGACATGCATACCGTATATGACACAAGATAACACACCCCCTGGACCAATTTTCAACGCTAGATTACTCCACGACCAAGAGGATGCATGAACGAAACGATACATTTTTGGAAAGCTTTCGACGAGGCGGTCCCAACGCCGCCGTTTTCGGCGCCGTGACTCTTTCTGTTGTTGAGAAATCAGATCTGAAAATCGGTCCAGGGGGTGTGTTATCTTGTGTCATATGCGGTACATAACGATGGGTTTCAACACGACGGACGACCTTCGCGGATCTTCGCGTCGATCTCTTTCGAAGGAATGAGAACGTGTTTGGGCAGGGGAAAAGGGAGATAAAAAAGTCTTGAGCGGTGGCGTGGGGGCATAGACCGGTCTCGCCCGGCGTCGAAGGAAACAACTTAGGTCTTCGAGATATACCACCAACAAGACGCCGATCTCTATCGATGCCGGCAATGTTTCGCTGGTTGTTGGAAGGGAAAGCGGGCACCACGCAAATAGCAAGGCAACAAAGATGGTGAGTGTCGATCCCTGTATCGTTTACTATACCCTCCCCCCGATACCCCCGGAGGTTTTCGTCGCTTGGCAACGACGTTGTAAACAAGTCGATCGCTTCGTGAGCTCGACAACCAGGTTACCGCTTTGTTTTACTGCCGTTTTTTTTTTTTGCGGTAACCGTGATGGAACCCTCACTCCGCGCAAAGGGGATGATCGCACCACGTTGTGTTCAACTGGGCGAGCACCTTCGAGGCAGTTGGTTCCACAGTGCTCAGAACTGTCTCTGAACGTGCAAAGAGCAAGTGAAAACCAGAAAATAAATGATCAAGTCATTTGCAGCTGTCAACCATATGCAAGGAACAAGCGCGCGATGCCGAACACCCTTAGCAGGATGCACCGCACCCTTCATGCACCTCGCCGAATACCTCGCGGCGCTTTGCGCGTGGTGACGTGAGAGCCTGGTCCGGTGAGAACCCGGCGTGCTCCGTCCCGCTTTGTAGGGATTCGAGGCCAATGGTCTAACGACTACGGCATGCGTTACTATCAGTACACCTTCCCCCCCCCTAGACTAGGTAGGTACAAGAGGGGTAATGGGGGGCCAGTGCGTTCGTCCGCCTATACCCCAGACGGTTGACCACATCCTCGTGAACACATCTCCGGGCGCGCAAATGACAATGACAACCGACACAAGGGGTCGACTGCATTCAACATAGTCTACGTGGTGTTAGAACAGGAATATCCTCAAATTAATACCATGGTACTCCAATGGGTTACAACATGCACCGTGCAACAAGGAGGGCGCAAAGGTGCACACGTGTGTTCCGATTAAAAATGGGAAGGGCCAATTCCAACTCTGTGTGACACACACCTTCACCGGGCTTCGCACCGCAGCGCGAGCAGCACGCCCGAGCATGACGAAAACACNCATGGTACTCCAATGGGTTACAACATGCACCGTGCAACAAGGAGGGCGCAAAGGTGCACACGTGTGTTCCGATTAAAAATGGGAAGGGCCAATTCCAACTCTGTGTGACACACACCTTCACCGGGCTTCGCACCGCAGCGCGAGCAGCACGCCCGAGCATGACGAAAACACTGGGGAACCTGCCGGTAGTCTCCCTCTGACACAGCAGTGCAGAGGAGCGCAGGGGAGGACGAAACACATCGAAGGGGGGTGGGAGGATGGCACAAGCGATTGCAAATTCAAACAAGTTTCAAAACTCTTTCAAAAAATCTCTCGCTGGATGGCGGTGCAGAGGTAACATCGGGGGTGCAGTCTACCCACAGCAGACACCTTTCATTCAAGCCATTTCTACCCAAATCCCTTTCTTCCCCTCGCTGCCTCGGGACCCATAGCGAGGGGGGGGGGGGGGGGGGGGG